AACAAATCGGATCCTAAATATTTTGGTCCTTTTAAAGTCCTAGCACTTATTGGCAAGGTAGCCTGTAAGTTGCAATTGTCTCAACAAGCTAAAATACATTACATCTTCAATGTCTCACAACTTAGGAGGTTCAAGGGAGATCTACCTCAACTATATATCCTACCAAATTGGACTGGTGAGACCATTCAGGTAGTTCCTAAACCAGCTGCTACAATGGACTCTCGCACCATCCAATTTACAGGTGTGTCCAAGGACCAATACCTGGTGCAATGAGTTGGCAAGCCTATTCATGAAGCAATAAGAGTTGATACTTTAGATTTTGAGTCTCGGTTCCCTGATTTCAATCCTTAGACTTGAGGATAAGTTGTTAAAGGGGGAGGCTATGTTATGGGTTTATTCCCTTTATTTTCTACAATGTGTTATTTTTACAAATTTATGTTAGCTTGTTAAAGGGTGTAATGACATGATTATAAATATCTAGTTTGTTGGATGAATTATGATATGAATAGAAAATGTAAGAGTTCTCCTCTCATCTATTCTCACATATTCCATCTCCTATACCATAAAAGGTGAATGTGCATACCTTTGAACTATCTAGTATAGAATAATATATCACCCAACTCTAGTTTGGAGTACAATAACAAACAACATCCAAACCTTAATCCCAAAATATTTTGAGTTCGGCTAACATGAACAGATCCATGATATTGATACAAAAAATAGAAGACAGACAAGAAGAAAAAAGAAGTAACTTAAAACAGATAAAAAAAAGATAAATAAATATAAGATAACAATAACATACGAATATAAGAAAGATAAAAGAGAATAAAAAGCTAGAAGATAAAAAATAAGAACATAAAAAGATAAAGAAGATAAACGATAAAAGAAAGAGGGAGGAAAGATTGAAAAGAGATCAATCGCCTACACAAATGTGAGCCCTCAATTTCTCTCTCTCCAAAACCATACTCTCATCTAGCCCAAGAAGACGCACATCGGTTCTGATTCCTTTAACCAAGTCTGTTTGGGTCTTCCCTTTCCTCTTCTCTTTGTCTCTTCTCCCCACTCTTCAAGTCATCTAACATGTGCATCACTCGGTCTTCGACGCACATGCCCAAACCACCACAAATGAGACTCTTGCATCTTATCTTCTATAGGTGCTACTACGACCTTTTGCCTGATTATCTCATTCCTAAAGCAATCTTTTCTGGTATGTCCATACATCCAACACAACATACACATCTCTGCCACACTCATATTTTGAATGTGACATTGTTTCACTACCTAACACTCTACACCATACATTAATGCAGGCCTAATTGCGGTTAGATAAAATTTACCTTTCAATGTAGTCGACATACCTCGATCGCATAGAAATCCCAATGCACTCTTCCATTTCATCTACCGAGCTTTGTTGAAGCAGTTAAACACAAAATTGTAAAGTTAAATCAAATATTAGCGTATATTTTATATTCAAATTGTTAAGAAGTTTATTTGTTACTCTCCATGTCTCAAATTATTTTCAAAGTCAAGTTCGTGGGTAAAAGTTATATATATATATATATATATATATATATATATATAGGGTAAAAGTTATATATATATATATATATATATATATAGGGTAAGGTTCAAGTGAGAAGAACCCTTTAGGTGAGAAGTGAGAATGAATCTCAGTCATTGGATTCGACTAAGTTGCAGTAAAAGACACTCCATGCTGCACTGAAGTATGCAATCTAGCACGGTGACATTTCTGTAAATACTTCTGAAAAATCCGTATTACACTTGTCAAGTGCAACATGAAACCATTTCGGTGCAACGCCGTCAAATATTAGTGCAACATGAAACAGTTTTAGTGCAACATTGCAAAATTTAAATATTCCTACAACATAGAGCCATTTTTAGTGCAACTTCGTAAATCTAATGACTGAGATTCATTCTCATTTCTCACATTAGATGCATTTCTCACTTGAACCAATATATATATATATATATATATATATATATATAGAGGAAAGTTCATGTCAGGACCTCCAAAGTGCGCAGTTAACTTCAAAAAATTATTTGACTGTCTTCCCGATGGAATTTTTAGCTGAAATTTGGTATGGTCAAACTAGACTTGATGAAGAACATGCTCAAAAAAATTCATCAAAAAATTCCACCGGGAAGAGGCCCAAACGTCGAGGTCCGTATGGAGGTCCGTTTCCGGATGGTCCTGACAGGAAGACTACTCTCTCTCTCTCTCTATATATATATATATATATATATATATATATATATATATATATATTTAAAATTTAAAAGTGTATCTGTTCCAAATTTAAAGAATTTGTGTTGAAGTGTTCCAAAACTAAGTTGGAGAATAAATTTGCTCACTCAAAAAAGTGTTTCTTCCCAGAATCACAAAATAGGTGAAACGAAAATACATGTAATAAAAAATGCACAAACATATTAAATTAAATATTACTAGTATAAATGATGTTTTACAGATTAATCGAAATCTTCTCATTTGATATAATATTATAATAAATGTTTGCTTTATTGTATTTCATCTCAAACTCTATGTTTAAGAAATCGGACTGGGATTGGATCCCAAAGAAAATACTCTATGTTTCATCTCAAAGATTTGGATCCCATCTCAGAGCGGGTGGTGGGGTGAAGACAAGCCTGACAGGAGGGCAAAACTGGGACTTAGAGGGTTCATCGAGCTCTGGCAAAACGGAGGGGGAGAAGGGGGCATCAAAGATAGATGTAAAGGAAAAAGTTTCAGCAACTGAGTCAGCCCAAAGCTTCACACATGAAGGGGAGGAGGCAAAGGAAGAAGGTTCTAAGAAGAGGAAGATTTGGGAGACTGGGTCAGCAAAGGATTTCGGGGAGGACAACATGGCTATGGATGAAGCAAAAAACAGGGAGGAGGTGGGCTTTGCTGCTTAAGCCCGCCGGAGATGCCGCAAGTCCAGTGGATGGTTCGAGTTTATCGGCTGGAGCAGAAGTTTGTTTTAGTTTGTTTCGCTTATTTTTTCAGTACTGATTACTTTTGTATTGGTTTTTCGTGTGTTTTTATTGTTTCAAATTGTCAGACATTGAGTTTGGATATGGGGATCGGGAGGAGGATGACAACCGTTTTTGGCTTTTTGTTTCCCAGCCATGGATCAACGAATTTTATTGTTACGACGATAAATTCCGAGTCTGGTTCAAGGGATAACGGATGTCAGATTTCTTTCTGTCTTTTGACCTATAGTCTTGAGTGTTTATTGGTTATTAATATAAGCCGAATTCTATCAAAAAAAAAAAGAAATCGGACCGGGAAGCGACCCGGCCGCGTGACTGGGTCACGGGTCAACTCGGACCCGGTCGGATCAACCCGGTCAACGCTCTAAAACCGATCAACCATTTAACAATAATGAATATATAATTGTATACAAAAATTAAAATTAAGGCGAAATTCATAAGAATAATGCCTACTTTTACGGATTCTACAATAATAATACCTACTGAGAGTGTCTATAAAAATAATCTGAACTAGCAAGAGTGTCCACAAGAATAAATTAGGGTGAATTCAAATTAGTGCCTGTTTAATACTACCAATCCTTACTCTCACTTTTCTCTTCACCACTTTTCTTACCGAAGTAAATTAAAACTAAAACCTGTTTAATCTTAATATTGTTTCCGCCATATGTGGTTCTTTCTACGATAGAAGATAGAAGTGTTACCCGAAAAGAAGAGTGGTGAAAGGGAAAGTAGAGGTAAGATTTGGGAGAATTAAATGAGAAATAATTTTAATTTACCTCAATTTATTCTTGTGGACACTATTGTTAGTTCGGATTATTTTTATGAATACTCTTAGTACAGATTATTATTGTAGAATCACTATAAGTAAAGATTATTTTTGTAAATTTCGCCTAAAATTAAAGGTAGTTATTATTTCATAATAATCAACTAATAATAATAGTAATAATAATACTCACTAAACACTTAAAAGTTAAAAGTCTCATAATATTCCAAAATACCATTTTGATCTTATTAAAATATGTAATGATACTCCATATTTGTTATTTTTATTATTGGACATTTATTATGTAATTTGACGTGATTTTGAATCTTAAACAAATAAGCAGAATATAAATGTATTGTATATATTTTTCTTTTTAGGGTATTGAAATTACAATTTTATTGTTTAAAAATGATTTAAAATTAAAAAAAATGGAAAAAGAGCCAAAATCGGATTTTTTCGGTTTTTTCAGGTCCTGGTTTGGACCGGATTTTGCCAGGTCAGCTTGATTTTTGATCATTTATGAGTTTTTAATTAACCGAAACGGGTTTCGGTCCGGGTCGCCTAGTTTCGGGTCGACCCAGCCGGACCGAGTTGATTTTTTAAACATAGCTCAAACTAAAATACAATGAAATTAAAAACATACTACTCCGTAGTACACAATAATCCATTTTTTTTCGAGGGGCCTGTTAAGTTTTTTTTATCATATTCTTTATGAATTATTATTAACCCTAACAAAACAACGACAAGGTACCCGGAAATTACCCAAAAAAATCACCTAAAAACCGCGAGGGGGCATCTGGGCATGTGAAGTGATGGATGCGAAGAGAGACAGGTGCTTGGCGTGAAGATGAAATCCCGAAAGACATAAATAATAAATACTCCGTATATATTATACGTAGTAATAAATAAAAACAGAGCAAAAAAGAAAAAGAAACGCCTTTTACTTTCTTTCTTCTCCCGTTAGGCGCGCGCAGGTTCAGAAGTCACAGCAACTTGCTGCGTGATTGGATTTATCGCAATTTATTTGTTTGCGCCGTATTTAAATGGAAAACCATTTATGCTTATTTTATCTTTTATTTAAGAAAGAGAAGAGATTAGTGTGCAGGAATTCAACAAAGGGAAATCCAACAAAGGGCTGCTCAGCATAAACACACCAAGACAAAAGTGAAACAGTAAACCAATTCCTCATATTTCTTTTTCATTCATTCACTCATCTGACAGAGGAGGAGCCAGCCTCATTTTACTTTCTTTCCCTTTGAAAACTGACCCATTCTTGTTGGAATATAAATTGATTGCTTTTTTGCAATAATAGACTGATTTGTAGTGTTGAAGGGTTGTTAATTGCGATATTATTATTATTAAGGAATGATGATTTTTTACTGTCCTCATTAATCTCCACACCTGGTTGAGGTTGGGTCAGGGGCTCACCTCACCTCTTTCTCTCTCATGTTTCTTTTTATTTTTTTTCCCTTGCTTTTATTTCTCCCTTTGATTTCCTCACCCACCAATTCATTTTCTTTATTATCATCATCTAACATCAGATTATAATCTCCAAACCCTCTCTTCTTTCTATCTCTTCTTCTCCCTTCTTCTGTTAAGCGGTGAGGTTCCATATCTTAGCAAAAACCAATCTTTTGTTGGTTGGTTGGTTGGGTAACTTTTAGATTGATTGAATGATTGATCCATATCTAAAGGTTGAATCTTTATAACGCTTGTTTTGCATTTCAGGTTTTGATTCTAGATCTACCGCTTCATATTCTAGCTTTTGACTGGTAACTTCTCCGATTATTATTCTGTCTTGTTTTTTCTTTTCTTTTGATCTGTGGTAAGTCTTCAGCTTCATCTACACCCCTGCAAATTATCAATATACAGACTTTTTCAGTTTGCCGTTTTAATTTTGAAGTTCATCAGTGGAAAATTATTTAATTGATTTTCAGGACGGTTCTTGTACCAATATTTTGTCTTTATTGTGTGTTTTAAATTGAATAAAATTAAACGTAGAGATGCTTTTATATAACATAATGTTGGGTTCATGATTAGGCGAAATGTTTGAGAAAGCTTCATTTTTTTGGCTATTTGATATAAAAACAATATTTTTTCTTTTGAAAACATATTTTCCTATGTTTGAAATTCTTGTTGTTCATTGCCATATATTTGTGTAAAACAGATTCTTTATTTGGATAAAATGTGGAAATTACCTCTGCACTTTTTTAGCCTTTTCCACTTCTTTTGTATTCCACTTCTTGGTTACAAGTTGTGTGATGTTGATGTTTCATGTTTACAATTTACATGATATAGTCAGTATGAGATGATAGGTATAGAGGAAGAGTGCTTGCAAGTTTCTCTAACTTATTTGTGAATTAGTTCTTTGGTTGATTTTAGTTGTCTGAAGACAATTTATCTCATGCTTTCAGGCCTGGCAAAGGAAGAGAGGGTCTGGTTTTCTGTGTTTTGAATAATATCCCCTTGAGCTCTGTTGAACAAAGCAGGTTGTATCCCTAATGCAGGGTCAAAAGAGTACAATCGGTTCATTTCCTGAATCGTTAGGCTTCAATCATGGGTCTACCTCAGCCGATGCTGCAATTGATCAGCAGATATGTTGGACACAAAACCTCATACCAGATTACATGGTTTCCTCTACAGACGCAATTCAAGAGAGGCAAGAATTGAATGGTTGGAGCTTAGGAGAAAGCAGCTCTAGAAGCATTGGGCTGAATCAAGTCAGTGAAAATGATCCAAAACCTGATCTCCGTTGGTCATCATCTCCTATGGGAGGGTTTCCTGTACTCCATGGAGAAAGGCTCTACGGGGCCTCCAATATTCTTTCACTAAATAGTAATAATGCTGAAGTCAACATAAATACCAATCATAATCATACAACTGGTAAAGGGTTATTCATGCATGGCTCCACTAGTTCTGGCACTTCTCCTCGCAATCTCAACATGAATTCAGCATTTGAAGTAGACGATGACACTGATGAAGATGATGATGACGAAGACGATGATGATGACTGTCTAGTAATGGAGTGTGTCACTGCTTACAAGTCTGAAGTTCCAGCGAATGACCGTGTGCCACATGGAAGCACTAGTTCGTTCCCTTGGTCTGCGGGCTCATCGGGCTCTGGTGGATATTTGGCTCGGGAAAGCGAAGGCCGACCCCACCGCTTATCATGCAAGAGAAAAACAATCGAAGGACACATTGGTCAATCTTCTTCTGGAAGTGGGAGTTCAAGTTATTTTCATCAGGCCGAAGGCAGTGTTTGGCCTAATAACACAAATGTCAGCTCTGATATGCCTCGTCCTTCACGAAGCTATAATAACAGTGTCAATTTGCCAGAACCGATAAACCCACGACTAGGACTGAGCATAGGAAGTGCTGTTTCTGAAGCCCCTATAGGTTTATTATCTTCTTCCAGAAGTTCAGAAACTTCCCGTAGGAATTTCCGGTTGAGGATCAATAACACTTCATCCTCACCACACCATCAAGAACCCATCCCTCAAAATCTATTCCCTAGTGAACCGGACATTGTAAATGCAACTTCTAGAATCCTTAACAACAACATGTTGAACACACAGTCCGCATCTTCTGCCACATACAATGCGAATCCTCAAGGTCCAGTGCGGGTCCCAGCACTACGCCCTAATACACAGGCCCGGTGGAATATAGCTTCTAGTTCAAGAAGTGGCAATCCAGTATATCCCGTTGCTGGGGAGAGAGATTATATGTTGTTCGATGAACCTAGTTCTAGAGGTATGTCGTCAAGAAACATGATGTCACAACCTCATCCTATATTTACACCTGATATAGTAAGCGGGAGCCACCAAAGCCCTACAAACTGGGGTTTACCCAATGTGAATGTTAATAATGTTGGTGGTGGAAATGTTGCTTCTGGTTCGACTTCTCGGGTTGTGTCTAATCCAGGAGGAGCCCACTCTGGGTCGCTTCCTCCTTGGGCGGCACCTCCCCCTCCTCACCGGAATCCTACACAGTATCCAAGGAGAATAACTGAATTTGTTAGGAGATCTCTTCTGTCATCATCAGTTGCCACCGATTCTGGGATGATGACTAGGGTGAATAATCCCCCGTCGATTCCTGGTTCTTCTTCTGCCAATTTACAGGAAGCAATAGGTGGACATTCTGGTAATAATCATGGGCAGCATCGCTCGTCTAGGTCGTCTGTAATGTTGGAGAGACAGGTAGGCGCTGTTGCTGGAGCTCCTTATTCCTGGAGAGGTCTAGCTGCTGCTGGGGAGGGAAGAAGCCGGTTAGTTTCCGAGGTATATGCATTCTAAACCCGCCCAATAAGAAATGTTTTATCTCTAGTTTGTTTGTCACTAAAGTTATTTTTTTGTATGCACAAAATTTCTTTAAACGCTCAAGATACACAATGATAAATACTCCGTATGATTTTTTTGTACCATAAAAGAAATATATTTGGCAGTTCTATGCATCAGACGTTAACCATATACAGCTATATCCCTTGTCCCCTCTTTCTACCTCAAGATTGAGTCTTTTGGATGGGATGGGAGGGTGGGATTGGTTTTTGTTTTACTAATTATTATACTCTATTTATTGGCCATAGACCTGAAAATAATTATTACTCCATATATGTTTAGTTAATTTTTCATCTTCTCTTTCTCCCCGGCCATAAAATGTCAGAAAATATTACTTAAACAAATGTCACCATACAGCAAAAGCTTCCAACATCTCAAGAAGTCGAGAGATAAGATTACATCATTGAGGTGTAAAGGCAAGATCACTATATGTATAACTAATAGATTGGTTTCATGAGGCAGCAAATCACTAGAAAAATGGGTAATTGCACATGATGGAAAGTAGAAACATCCTTACCTAAGGTTGAGATTTTCCTTGGCTCCTTGCTGCATATGTTCTGATTTGTCACTCCAAAAATGCATTTGAGCAAACAGAACACGCTTAAAACATTCTACAAGCTACATTGTGAACAAGAACACCAAAAAAATCCTTTCATAACACAGAACACCTGAGGGTATGTTTAGGAGTTTGGGGGGAAGGTGAAGGGAAGGATTTGAAGGTTAGCAGTTAGCCATAGAGGGAAAGAGAAAGGGAAGTCAAGGAAATCCTTCTTCTCGTTTGGGAGTTACTAATTTGGAAAGATGGAGACTGTGGGGGAATTATATTTAAAATCACTTGGCGTATTCAAATCGTTGAAAATGTATTCATTTTAAATTGGGCTAAAGTTGCCATTTAATTAGTTATCGTTAAAAATCCTCCAATATGGGGGAACTATAAAATTGAGCATTTAAAGGGTTTTGGAGGGTAACAAGAAGGCTTCAAAGCCACCCCTTCCATTTCTTTAAACACTCAAACATAAAATGGAGGGCCATAACCATTATTTGAAATTGTGCAATGCAATTGTGCCTTGAGGCGTGCCTTTAAGAATTTCACGGAGTTGGAGATGGGAAGCGTAACCAGTTTGACACAATAGTAAGACTTACGCTTTTTATGTGTCAGGCTTATACCATAAGGTGTATGGTATGAGGCGAAGAAAGGCATACACAATTCTATTTTCAGCACAATATGCGTAAGTGTTCCAAGCTAATAATAGTCGGGTCTAGTTTTAATTCAAACCAATTTTTTAATAGTACAACGATAGTATTCTGCTACACACATGTCTCCTCCTCATCAGCTCTCGTATGAGCCTTATCTCTTCTCCCCCAGTCCGCCTCTTGTCTCTCTTCTGGTTGCCTGCATAGTGGGCTTATTCCCTTATTTATTCTCTTCTCCAACTCTCTTTTCAGTACATGCCCATGGTATGCTCATTATTTTATTTTTACATAATAGTTTATTTGATATTATTACTCTTTTCTTGTGTAAGCTTCAGTTTGGTACTAGTAGTCTGTTATACATTTATGTATATGTAAGAACTAAGAACATATAATCTCGTTTGGTAGGCTAATACTCACTCATGAAATATTTGTTAGACGTTACTGTTGGTCTGTGATTCACATATTAGATGCAGTAGTGTTATATCCTTTGTCAACATCTGTACAACTAATATACCCCAGAGCTATATATTACTATGCCAAAAATGAATATGAATAAAGAAACATTATATATAAAATTATAACCTATGATTAGACTAAGGGAAAATGGAAACTAATAATCCAACCTTTTAGCAGTCTTCTTACAATAGTCCTACCTTTTGATTATTCATGAATAATCCAACCTTTGCACCTCATCTTCATTCACTGGTCCCTGACCAGTTGATGACCTACCATTCCAAGTTATTTTCTTATCTTTGCAAACCATTATACCATAAATCTCACCTTTCACAAAGATAATATTTTGCAAAGATAAGAAAATAACTTGGAATAGCGGGTCATCAACCAGTCAGGGACCAGTGAATGAAGATGAGGTGCAAAGGTTGGATTATTCATGAATAATCAAAAGGTGGGACTATTGTAAGAAGACCGCTAAAAGGTTGGATTATTAGTTTCCATTTTCCCTTTGACTAATATTTCTATCATCTAATGTCTGAACTCAGTATTTCCATGACATTATGATGTTAATGTTGGGTTGCTTATAAAATTTATTGTTTTGGATGAACATTAATTTCTTATTACTTCTAACTTTTTTTATTACTTCTAACTTTGTATGTGTGTGTGTATATATATCATATATATAGATATATAGTTGCACTACGAAACAAGTGTTACACCTAAGCCTTATGCCTCATTACGCAATACTATAAAAATGCCTCAAGTATGCAATACACAATTTTGAATATTGGTCGTAACTAATAAACCCTCCTCACTCTCCCCCATCCCTCAAATCCCAACTCCCAAACATACCCTCAGAGAAGGGCTGCACTGTACTTGCCCTTACTACTAAAACATTGGTGGGAGGTTAAATCGTGAGACATTGCTCACTAGGTCCCTCATAGTGTTTGCATGTACCTTTGCCTACCCAAACCTAAATGCTCCCACCTTGTTCTTCTCCCTAGAAAGTTGTTACTTTGTTGGATATTGTTCACTTTCATCTAGGCCCCTCATACACTTCTGCTTGCAATTGGTCAATTAAGTTGACATTGATGTCCAGACACTGATTTGAAGCAAGTCAGTCACAGCGGCATGTAGTTCTCACTATGAAGAATCTAGCAATAGGTCACAGGGATCATTGGGTGACTTGTAGGTTTTGATCTCTGGTGGCCTTATTGAAAAGTGAGGGAGAGGGCCAACAGGGTATTAGTCCCTAGACGCTCCTTTGAGTCCCAACTCCTAAGCATCTCTGGGTGCTGCCACATCACCCCAGATTCCGATTGCTGTAGTTGCCACCTGAAGTCACCCAGGCTTCATGTTTCTCCTTTTTTCATTTTCTAACTTTGACTTTTTTTCTTATGTTCTCATTTTTTGGTATTTTAGCGCCTCAGCTTTATTATGCAGTTAAGAAGTTGAAGGTTTGAAGTTTTCGTTAGTTGGTTTGTGCTTTTTTTTGCACATGTTCTATTAGCTTATAGTTTTTTTATTAATTATTGTACTATGACATATTTATACTTTGACATTGTTTTCGAAAAACTATTGCTAATATGTGGAGTTCATTTATGTTTTCTAAAATCACCAGTCTACCAATATGTATTGATGCCGATGCCATTTTTCAACTAAACAGATACGCAATGTTTTAGATCTTATGCGCCGGGGAGAAAACTTGCGGATTGAGGTTAGAGTCTCTCTCTCTCTCTATACAGAATTCGTGACATATGATGTACAAAGTTCTGCAGTGAGCTTTGTGTGTAGTTTGGAGACTTTTTACGGTCTTCTTGTGGTACACTCACTGACAAGCCCAGTGAAGTTGGAAGTCTATGACATGTCATTTTTTTACATATGAACGTCCACTAGAACTTCCTTTACTGACCACGATATTATAGTCTAAAATTGGATTGGTTGCAAATAATCTGGACTGGCAACTACATGAAAAAGGTGTTGCCATGAATATTACTTGAGTTATCTTTTCTTTTAGTACACAAGTTTGTACTCTTCTACTCTGTGGAGGTACCGAGCTTAAATTTTCATGGCATGTTTTCCTTGGTTTTGGTCCTAGTGCCGGTTTTGGAGCACCTCTTTCTGTCATATATCTGCCGTATTGCTAGATTGTCTAGATTTTCTACAAAACACTATTTATACTCCCTTTGTCCCACTTTGGTAGATATTCTAAACTTTTCTCCTCTATCTGACCCAAAAAATATGAACTTAAGACTCCAATAACATTTTACTTTCCCACTTTATCCTATTATCTATAATTGATTTTTTCTTTTTAGAAAGTCATCAGGGTAAAATAACAAATATCTATTCTACTTTCTTAAACCCAGTCGCAGACACAAATCTAACTTATATTTTGGGATGGTAAAAGGTTTATAGTTGAAATAATGAACATGCAATATAGAAGTTACTTTCTTGGCTGAAATGAACACTAATGGCACTTTTACCCTCATTGTTTGAGATATATTTTCCTGAGTTTTTAAGTGAGCATTTTTTTCAAATATACTCGTAGTTTTTTATGACTGACCTATTTAATTGCTTTGCCCACAATTTTAGCAAATCCAGCCCCTCGAGATATGTTTGGCCAAATTTCACCCTCTATAAAGGGAGTCTAAGTTAATATAATGCTCAAAATGCATGTGTATTGCTGCAGTTTAGGTGAGCAGTGACCAGCTCATTAAAATATTAGCAATGATTTCTCAAAGGAGCGTGAAGCAATTGAATGTTGTTTACTCTATTAACTTTTACGGTGTTTTGCTGTTTTTCTTTTAGTCGGGCGGTTATAGGGGTTGTCAATTATAGTGTCCTTATCTACTATATATATTACCCCTCCCCCTTTTCTGAGAAAATACAAAAGTTACTTTTGCTTCTAAGCATGAGTTTGAATTTGAATTCTCTTCATTATAGTGGACTTCAAATGAAAATGCCCCTTTTGTAAACAAATTTTTCTTGTCCAGGATGTAATGATTCTTGATCACTCAATCCTGTTTGGTATGGCTGATATCCATGATCGGCACAGGGACATGCGACTTGATGTTGATAATATGTCTTATGAGGTATGTGTCTTAAATTTGCTGGTGTTCCGGATTGCTAAGGTTTCCACTGTTTGCTCATTGACCCATTGTTGATTTTGATGCCCCTTAGGAATTACTGGCACTGGAAGAGAGGATTGGGAATGTATGCACTGGATTGACTGAAGACACCATTGTTTGTCGTTTGAAACACCGCAAATACACATCCATGGTAACTGTAGAACCTGTGGAAACAGAACCTTGCTGTATATGTCAGGTACTGTCTTCTGATCTCACTATTCACTATAGTTTGGTTTTTTTCCTTCTCACCATATATTTGCATTGGTCCCAAGTTTTTACACTCAGTTTAGTCTTCATATATTGGTGAAATAGCATATATGATCCCGTGTCTTGTAGTTATTAACTGAAGACTCGTCTTTACAGACTTATATCAGTCTTAGGCCAGATTCAAATTGATCAGGTTAGACTAGCATCACATTATAATACAATACCTAATATCAAATTGGACTAGATTAGACTATATTAGAGTATTAGACTTAAGTAGACCAAATCAGATTGAACAGACCTGCCTGGACAAGTCCAGTGAAATTCAGTCCAAGAGAACACGCCCCTACCCAGAATTTAAAAGTTACCAAGGGTATACACTCGAGTCTAAAAGTGTTATTTTTCCAACGTTTTATTGTATACCCGTAGTATATCTTTTGAATAAATTGAAGATAGGAGGATCACGGAGTCATGACTTGAGAAAGTGATAATTGATACGCAGTATATGTTTTTTCAGGAAGAATACAATGATGGAGACGACCTTGGAACATTGGATTGCGGGCATGATTTTCATAAGGGTTGCATTAACCAATGGCTTAAACACAAGAACTTGTGCCCCATTTGTAAAACAACTGGGTTGGCTACCTAAGCCAAGCCCAAGTGGGTCTTTACCATAAATCTTTCATTCTTTCATTTAGACCAGAAGTGGATGGACGGACGGATAGATCAAATGTCTTTCCTGTCTTTGGCAAGGTTGCATCCACTAAGTGGGTGAGATGGAAGTCTTCGTAGGGATCTCACTGGATTGAAGGTGTTTTTAGTGTTTTATTCCTCAAAGTTCCTCAAAGTTATTATCCAGCGAGTGATCCTGAGAACTGGAAGTAGAGAGCGGAGCATTGGCTGTTTAGCCATTCATATAGTTGAGAACTTCAACATGGAACCTGGAAATTTACCTTTAAACTGTATCGAAAAAAAGTTTACCATACCTTAAATTCTTCAAATTTGAATATTTTATTTATTTATTTTCTCCATGTTTTTTCGTGGCCTTCAAATTTTGCACTTATTTCATAGAAAATTAGGGATTCCTGGTCTTTATCTCGATGTGGCTAATTCTAATGTTAACACTTAGATTATTCAGCTTCACATCATGTTGAATTTGAGCCAGAGTTGGGCCTAGTTTGACAATTAGAGGTTAGCGGATATAACCACTGGGTTGTAAGTTGTAATTTGCAAGTCATTGGGCCATTTGGGGGTAGGGATAAACTGTGACAGGTCGACCCGTACTGTTCAGGCCAAGCCCGTTACTGTTTAGGCCCGGCTTGGCCAATTACTGTTTAGGCCCGGCCCATTACTGTCTAGGCCCGCCCCGGCCTAGAAGTTATTAAAAGCAGGCTTTGGGCTTAATTTTTTGGTCCCAACTGGGCCTGGGCCAGGCCCAAGTGCACGATTTTAATTTTTTTTATATTAAATGGGTGTAACCGACCCCACGGTCTTGGTCCTGCTCCTAGAGCATACCTGGGCTGGTACCGGGTGTGAAATCCTTAGTGTTGAAGCTTGCTTGGTCTTGGGCCTGAGCCTGACCATCCCTACTCTTGGGGTTGTATTGGCTCAATCTTCGGTAAGGGTGGATTGGGATTGGTTCAATTGGCCCGGTATCCGGCCTAGACCGCCACCGTGCGGTTCCGGAACGGTTGACCGAAACTGGGCCTGGGGCCAGATGGGGGTGGATGGGAGGGTGGGGCGGGTCACGGCCTTAAGCCCTCTTGGAGCCGGGCCGGCCGGTCCAGGACTGGTTCAGGCCCAACATGTTTTTTTTAATCGATTGGGTAGTAGGTGGGTTGGGATGGGTGGTTTGGGGATGGACGGGTGGTGGTAGGAACAAATACGGAAAACCAAAAAAAATATAAGACCCGGTCCAGGTCTCGGAACCAACCCGGGCCGGTACTAGGCCTAATGCCCCAAAAAATTGAACTGGCCAAGACGTGACCCGATCCCGGTCCCGATCCGGTCCCAATCCACCCCTAATCTTCGGGGAAGGATTCGGTCACTTCTAGCAACTTGGGGTGAGTGCGATAAGAAGATTTGGTTGGAATTATGGGAGGGCTGAAGTATTAGACAACATTGTTTTTCGGTTTATCAGACTTATCAACCAACATTTTCACCAAACACGAAAAAGTAAGGTTGAAGTTACTTTTCTGGCTGTATTGGATGAAGTTACTGTAGATGACCATTTTAGCTATTTTACATATAACGTTTTCTTTATTTTATTAATAAAATATATATATTTTTTCTTAAATCAGTGGAATCAGACAATGTAGCCACTTCATTCAGAACTTCATAAATTTCAACAGAATCAGCCAAATCAGCAGATTTTCGTGCTATAGAGCCCGTTTGGTAACACTAAAATTGGCTGAATTGGCTGATTCTGCTGAAATACATGAAGTTCTGGATGAAGTGGCTGTATAGGCTGATTCATGAAAAAGTTATATTTAAAATATCTGTTATTAATAAATTAAATAAAAAATTATATGAAAAAATAACTAAAATGATCCTCTACAGTAACTTCAGCCAATACAGCCTGAAAAGTAACTCCAACCTTACTTTTTCTACTTATTACAAAATTTAGCGCGAGAAATCAAAAGTTACGTGTTTGGTGAGAAAGCTGGTCGATAAGCCTGATAAACCGATAAAAGGGGGTCACCGAACGGGCTCTTAGTTTGTTAGCACTATTTGACACTGTTTTGTTTATTAAATAAGAAACTGAGACTTTTTAAAGGGCGTCTAAGAGCATCTCCAAAGATATAATGTGCACGGTGCACATGTGGCATGAGTGATAGCCACATAAATATTAGCATATAAATTATCTCTCTCCTTATTTGAATGATTTTATACAATTTTGGTAAGTTTTTCCCTGCAATGTCAATAACAATGTCAACATCTAGACGGTCTCATTGACATTGTGGAGAAAAACTTACCAAAATTGTATAAAATCATTCAAATAAGGAGAGAAATAATTTATTTACTAATATTTATGTGGCTATTTCTCATGTCACGTGTGCACCGTACACATTTTACCACTGGAGATGCTCTAAAAAAGAAAAGTGACAACTTCAAATTTAAATATGTTTAACTCAAAATCCAGGATCCACCTTATTTTTAGGTGTTTTATTTTATTTTATTTATTGGTTAAAAAATAACAAGTGTTCAACTTCAAAACGACAGCCCTATAGAAAAAGCTATCTGCATTGGGAACAGTGATTGGCGGTTTTCTTAAATTGTTATTTTAAGCTTCTGTGGCCTCCATTGCTCAGTTGGGGAATTTATGATATGGCAAATCATGGAGTTATTGAAAAAAAGGGGTTACTTCGTAAATATCTCTTGGAGACTTGGTAAACAGTTTTAGATTCAAAATACAATACAGCTCATAGTATTAAAAAATTTGTGATCTCATCTAATTAATTTTATGTTTAGTCTGAGATGGTATGATACGATAGAGATGTGTTGTACGAATGTTTTTAATTGAACTAGTTTTAGTCTCATAAAATACCAGTTACACAGAGAAAAGGGTCAAATAAGGTCTTCTACTATATATATTATATAAATTTTTTAAAGTCCAAGGGGGGCGGTCAGCCCCGCGCCCCCCTTAAATCCATGTAAACAAGTAAATGATCAATACTCCCATTTTGTAGACCTGTTTTTCTTTTTTATTTGTCTAGCAAGTCTCACATTTTTAATCAATTATTCTAGCTATCATTTGAAATGGAGACCTATTTACAAATTGACACATACGGAGTATATATATTCTAAAACTTTAACAACTCATATGGGATTGTGCCACGTTACCTTGAAATTGTTTTAGTCCCATATATGGCCATATATCATACATATCAGTGTATCAAATCTTCAACACATAATAAATTATAACTAAACTTTATCACATAAGGCTAAATTAGACATACTTTTAGCCTAATTTTAATAAAATTTATTCGTAATTTGTTTATAAAAGCCAATTTAGGATGGATTATCCTTGATTCCCCCAATCAAGCATGAACATATGCCACATAATAATTAAGACCAGAATCGCAAAATAAAACATTACACAACAACATGATGAGATTAACAAAAATTGATTAGATATTGAGACGAGATGTATCAAACTACACTTAGGAATACCAGGCCTAACAATATATACCTTCATGAGATGAGAGAGTAAAGGGTCAGTTTGGTCCTCGAAGTTACAAAAAAGGGGTCAAATAAGTCCTTATATAGAAGATTCTGTCCGGACGTTCCATTTGAGGTGGCCCCCGGTAGAATTTTTTGATGAATTTTTTTGAGCATCTTATTCATTAAGTCTAGTTTACTCATACCAAATTTCAACTAAAAATTCATTCATGGAGACATTCAAATGAATTCTTGAAGATAACTGCGCTTTTAACGACACAATTATCTTCAAGAATTCATTTGAATGTCTTTCCGATTGAATTTTTATCTGAAATTTGGTATGAGTAAACTAGACTTAATTAATAAGATGCTCAAAAAATTTAATCAAAAAATTCCACCGGGAGCCACCTCAAATGGCACGTCCGGACAGAATTTTCTATATAAGGACTTATTTGACCCCCTTTTTGCAACTTCGACGACCAAACTGACCCTTATCCCTGAGATGAAATTAACAAAAAATGGTCTAAGATGAATATCCCGTTACTTATATTCTTTTATTAACAAAATATATTTTAAATATAATTTTTTCATATTCAACAGATTCAGAGTCCGTTTGGTAGCTTGAAAATCAGCAGATTTGGTTGATTCTGTTGAAATTTATGAAGTTCTGATTGAAGTGGCTGCATTGGTTGATTCTGCTGATTTAAGAAAAAATAATTTTAAAAAATATTTTATTAATAAAATAAAGAAAGAATTATATGTAAAAATAGCTAAAATAAATTCAACCAATACAGTCAGAAAAGTAACTCTAACCTTAATTTTTCTACTTATTATACAATTGACCGCGCGAAAGTAAAATTTACGTGTTTAATGAAAAAGTTAGCTGATAAGCCGAAAAACAGTGTTGCCAAACAACCTCTCAGTCAATCTCATCGTTTCAATCAATTAATTTCAACTGATTCAGTCGATTTCACTTACGGGTTCCTCATATTTTAAGGATTAACTTAATTATTTATTTAAACTTTAAAGTTTAAACCCGGATTCGAGGCAAAATACAATTAAGGCGGGAGATTACAGTTCTAAACACTGTTAAAACTTAAAAGGGAGAAGAGGATGCAATTGCTGAACTAAAAGTTCTTGTTATCGTCATCTCATAACCCAATAAAACCACTGCCCTCAGGATAGTGAGACATGAAAATACAGAAGGTGGTAGTTAGGCTCATCTTATCTGTGTAATTCTCGATTTTTTCTTTTCGTGACTGTTTTCCAACTAACAAGTAACAACAATGGCGGATCCTTTCGGAGTAAACCCTCACCACTTACTCGAATCAGAGGACATGTCTTCCTTTGTACACAATATTCTCGGAGGCTCGTCCGCTTCTGGTAATGGAAAAGTCGGTCTTTTTGGTCGACGGGAGACTGGAGCTCACGCCATGGAGTCTGGGATGAGGGAGGGATCTTCTGTCCCAGTCGTCGTGTCGTCGTCTAGCCTCCAGTTACCTAATCCTTGCAGGTTTTATGGAAACGATGTCAAGGAAGATGACGTTAATGTGTTTTCTTCAGCTGGAATTAAGGATTGTGAAGCGATCACTTCTTCTAAGGGGGTTGAGTTTCCAGATGACGACAAGGTCGACGATTTCAATTTTTCCCTTGAGGTAATTATTATGTTTACTTATATTACCGAAACATTTTACTCGAAATTATGGTACTTTTTACTAGTAAGCATCAGTAATTTATCAGGACTGCGAAACTTCAGATCCACGAAGTAATCAGGCCCAACGACGTTCCTCAAAGAGGTGTAGATCAGCGGAGGTTCATAATTTGTCAGAAAAGGTTCGGTTTCACCCAAATTTCTTAAATTTTGCTTTGGATAATAACAAAGATGATGTTAATTTAGATTTATGTGGCCAAT